TCACTTTCATGTGCTGCAGCACAGACACACGTTCACTGTAAGAACTACGTGAGTCTCCGAGCTCCGTGGCTTTTAAAATTCCATTCACAGCAGATTAATTAAACTTAGATTAAACTGATCTAACGGTTTGTTTTGCAATGTGACATTTAAGAGATTGTGTCTGTTTTTTTCGCCACGCTAAAGTTTAATTAATCCACAAGTCTGAGGGCTACACAAGAAGAATTCATTAGGGATTTATATAATTAACACATCGTTGATTCTGAACATACAAGCTTATGTTGAGATGTCAAAGAGTCAATTTCAATAACATTTGTTGTTTTCCAGCATTTCAAATTATCTCCTTTGTTGTGGTAATCACTTTATATTATTTTTTGGAGGAGGTTAAATTGAAATTTTCCATGTCTTTGTGACATTTCTCTCATATTTTATCGACTCAAGCACTGAGAGAGTAAACAATTAGCTCCAACCCCACCAAACGCCATATTTCCAGACATATTGTCAGTGCATTAGCGCAGGTATACAAAGATTTGTTTTTTTTTTTTTTTGGCAACTGTTGAATTATGTGTAATGTTATATTTAAAAATATTAATTATAGCCTTGGGGATGATGCTCAGCCAGTACCACATCCAATCTTTGCTCAAAATCTGTTAAACTGACTGATTTAAAGCCAGATTTTAGCTCATATTGATTACGTGTGGTGGACATCTTGAAATGGATTGGCTCCAAAAGCCAATCAAATGTAGATGCACTCCCGATAATTACTTTCTTAGAGTTTCAATAAAATCTGCCGAATTGTTCTTGAAATATTCTGCTAACAGACAAACAAGTTCAAGTGAAAGTTTCAAGTTTGTAATTTAAAGAGAAAAATCTCATGCAGAGTGTAGCCCTTGAAATATGTGTTGTAAATATCTCTCAGCTATAATCCTACTGAATTTTAGCATAATGGCTGTAAATTTATCTGAATTATAACTATGTTCATTTTTTCTAAGGTCAGTTGGATATAGAGGCCATCTTGAGTTAGATTGGCTCTAAAAGCTTAACAGCTGTAGATAAACATCCAAGGCTTATTTCTAAAAAGTTTCATTCAAATCTGTCAAGTGATTCAAAAGAAGTTTTGCTAACAGACAGACAGAGTTTACTCAAGATAATTAATGGAAAACAAATTCTGTCTCTGCTCCTCACAGCTTTATTTTCCACAAGTAATAATTGTGTTCAGGATCAGGCGGCCACCACTGCCAGCTTGCACCAAGCTGCTGAGAACGAGACAAACAACTTCCCTGCATGTCTATTTGTTTCATTCCATTGATTTAGCAGACACATCTATTCAGCGTTACTAGATTATAGAAAAGCATAAAGTGGTTAATGCGCTGAACGAGTTGGCCTCGATCGCCAAAGGATAGAAAAAAAGACTGATTTATAAATCCTTACTTGCAGTAGTTAAACACCTAGCGAGCGCAAATGAGATGAACATGATTTATGTTGTAAACTGTATTTTTTTCCACAAATAGTCATACAGCAAGGAAGCGTGACATGCTATGTTTCCTGCTTTGACGCACCTGATTTGAATAAATGGGTGATTAACAAGTTTCTGCAGAACTTGAAGAGGTAATTCAACGACTGAACACTGCTTGGATCTTTGGAGGAGTACGTGCCAACAAAGTCAAATCAGTTAAGTAATTCCAGATATGATAGAAACCTGGCAAAGGAAAACCTGCTTTATCACATCATACTAGTGTCATTCAGAAAAAAACACAAGTCAACAAAAAAGTACCACAACACAACAAAGGATTGCAGACAAACTCCCGGAGGAGTATAGATTAGAGTTGTGGTTTAAAAGCAATACTGAATACTCGATACATTTTCCTACACAAAATTCATTTGACACTAAAATAAACCAAGAAAAGAAAGACCACCAAAAGTCACCAGGCATGAAGGAATCAATAAGAGCAATAACAGATAGGCCAAAGGGGAGTTTGAAGGAGGTGCAAAACTGCACAGTAGAGACTAAAATATCTGCCCTTTTGACCTCTTCCACACAATAATGTACACAGAAAAGCTTGTTTTTATTTTTTATTTTTTCTTGGACAAGCCTCCATTTCTTCTAAACAAAATCAGCCTAGCAGACCTTTTAGTTAGTATTTCAACAAAAAAGGTACCGAAGCCCCCTCTAAACATCTCACGCACGGTGAGCATGGCTAAACAAAAAGTTAAATTCACTAACCACTAATCCATTAAACAAAAATCTTAGCTCCACTCATGCTAATCCACTAAACAGACACAACAAAAGAATCAGTGGAAGCTAGGGGAGTAAGAAAATATCGATACACTGAAATATCGCGATATTTCATTTCCCGATACTGTATCGATATTCTAAAGCCCTGTATCGATTTTTTTTTTTTATTAAGGTTTAAAATGTCAACTTTCCTGCCAGCCGTTCATTTTTATGTTGTAGTTCAGCCTCTGACCACTAGTTGGCAGCAGTGAGCCAGCCATTTGGCTCCTCTACCTCAAGAGGAGTTAAGTGTTGGGTGACCATATTGTAAATTAATATTAAAAACTAAAAGCTGCAAAAAATATATTTTCAATCTATTTATTGTCAAATTTAGTCTAATTGAAAATATGGATGAAATAAGAAATATGAAACATATAAAATAAAATACATACAAAGCAGAACACAGCTAAATGTATCAAAAGCATGTTGATGTAATATTAGAATTTTCTGAGACAATGAATTTTGGTTTTTCATTTTTTTGTTCCCCAGTAAGAGATTTTTATTTAATAGAATTTTTGGACAAAAAAAATCACAATATATCGCAATATTTTGCCTTGTTTACAGTATCGCAATATATCGGGATATATCGTATCGTGACCCCTCTGTCATGATATGTATCGTATCGCCAAATTCTATCTTGCCAATACACAGCCCTAGTGGAAGCTAATGCTAACCGCTAAGATAACAGTCACTCGGCCTGTCTTCTTCTCCTTCCAGTTGAAAACTGGTGAAACTAACAAAACTTGTTAGTTTTCTATCAGTTTGATTTGAAGATTGGTAGGATCATTTCTGGCAAATCAGCTAACCAAACCAGTTATTGCTCTATCTAATGTGTGATAAATCTAGTTTACCAACCTTTTTCAACATATTAGTCATTTACTACGTGACTAGTGTTCTAATTAAAAATTGCCTGAGTGGAGGCCCCCATTCAAAAAGCCTAGGTCAAAAAGCCACAAGGTAAATGTTGCTGATATGTATTCTATTGAGATGGATATTTAAACTCATTGACGATGAATTTCCAAATCAGCTTCAAAAAAGAAAAGAAAAACGTCTGCTCAGAACACTTTAAAGGCAACATGCTGCCAGAGAGGTCTCATCCCATTTCTGCCAGTAAAACACTCATTCAAACCGACAGGTGAGGCACGCCGCTCCAAACACCGGGTGGGGAGGATGATATGTAAATCTGTGTGAAGGCGCACATTTGTGATTCCATTACAAATTCTCTCGGGGTCCTGCTTGGAATATCACCTGCACAACACCAAAGACGGCAAAAAAGGAGACGAAGCTCCTCTCTGGCCGACACTGATAAGACTCTCTGTCTGGGGCTGATATTTCCCAGGAACCAGATCAGACAGATGGATCTGAGGCTCCTCCTAAAGGTCCCTGGCAGACCTGGATTTCGCAGTTAGCCTTTTATCGCACAAGGTCTCGTCCTAATGAGCTGCATGTGTACCCTGAGAACCTCAGAGGTGAGGGGCTCTAATTTCTCCCAGGGGAAATTTGGGGGTTGGTATCCTGTGGAAACACAGCTCCAAGATCTCATTAAAAATTAGACACAGGTGACCTGAAATCAGGTGTGTATTCAACCTGGACCTCAACAAAACCTCATTACCAACCCTGAGTTTAACTCAGTCTGAAATCTTGAATTGTATTGTTGTTTTTGTTTTAACTGCTTGTTTTTTTCTGTCTTAATTAATTTGTTTATGCTTGTTTCAAACTTTTGTGTTTTAAATTTTTCTTATATTTCAGCACTTTGGCCAATGGTGTTTTTTTTTTTTTTTACAATACTTTATAAGTAAAGTTGTATTGTATCAGCACAAAGTTTAAAACCTTGCCTCTCTGATATTATGGGGGTGCACTCCTGCCTATATGGGCAGCTCACACATCTAAAAAGGCACCCATTGATGCTGAGAAGCATATACAGGTTTTAGGACAACATAAGTGACCATCAAGGTATTATTTTTAGATCTTACATATTTCAATAGGACAATGCTAAACTGCTACCGCATTCATTATAACAGCCTGGCTTTGCAGCAGAAGAGTCCTGAACTGGGCTGCCTGCAGTCCAGACCTGTCACCAGCAGAAAACATTTGGTGCATCATGAAATTAAAAACCCAGTAAAGAAGACTGTTGAACAGCTCCTGTATAAGACTGAGGCAATTTTCTCCTCCTAAACCTATCAGTTGCTAAAAGAAGAGGGGATAAGAAGGAATAAACAAGCCCCTTGTTCAAAATTTCATATTAAATAAATTTAAAAAATGAGTTTTTAAAAGGTAGGCCACATTTGTTATATTTTTAAGTTCCATTTGGAATAAAATGTGGGTTTATGAGATTTGCAAATGATATTGTTGCAACTTTTTTTTAGAATTAAGGTTGCACTCTATTCTGTTTGTCTCATTAATTCAAGGTAAACAGTAGACAAAAAACATCAAATAAATCCTAAAAGGAAAAAAAAATACATATAATATATATACATATATATTATTCACGAGTCACTGATTTGCAGACACAAAAGCACACATGTTAAAGAAGCACACCTCTACAACAGATTCAAAGATTTCCACCTTAAAAAAAGCAATTAGGTATAAAGTGGTTGAATGTTGTGTGTGTGTGTGTGTGTGTGTGTGTGTGTGTGTGTGTGTGTGTGTGTGTGTGTGTGTGTGTGTGTGTGTGTGTGTGTGAGTCAGGTTGACAGTGAAGTGCGCGCAGCAGTGCGGAGCAACTCACGTCTCTGAAGCGGTTCCAGTGTTTGGTCTTCCGGCTGTACTGGGAGATGGTTGACAGCCACTGCTCGTCCTCCATGAAATTCCCGGCTTTCCCGACCACTTTCCCACTTTTCACGTCCACCTGGAGCGAGACGCCCACCAGCAGACACAGGCAAGCCGCGATTCTCATCATGCTGCCCGGGCAGGTTGTGGTGGGGTTGGGATGGGTTCCTCCTGCTGCTGCCTCCTCCACGGAGTGAATGGAAATGAGGAGGAGGAGGAGGAGGAGGAGGAGG